CCGCCAGCCAATGCAGGGGACACGGGTTCGATCCCTGGTCCGGGAAGATTCCACATGTCGCGGAACAACTAAGCCTGTGCACCAGAACTACTGAAGCCCGCACGCCTACAGTCCGTGCTCCACAACAAGAGAAGCCACCGCAACAAGAAGCCCACACACCGCAACAAAGAGTAGCCCCTGCTCGCCACAACTAGAGAAAGCCCATGCTCATCAACAAAGACCCAATGCAGCCAAAAATAAATGAATAAATAAATAAACAAATAAATAAATAAATAAGTTTTGCAGGAGTTTCCTGGTGGCCTAGTAGTTAGGATTCCGGGCTTTCACTGCCATGGCCCAGGTTCAGTCCCTGGTTGGGAGACAGATCCTGCAAGCCACATGGCACAGCCGAAAAATAAATAAAATAGTGTTTATTTATTTATTTATTTTTGGCTGTGTTGGGTCTTCGTTGCTCCGTTATTTCTCTAGTTGCGGTGAGTGGGGGCTACTCTTTATTACGGTGCGCAGGCTTCTCGTTGCGGTGGCTTCTCTTGTTGCACAGCACAGGCTCTAGGCGTGGGCTTCAGTGGTTGTGGCACACGCGCTTGTAGTTGTGGCTTGCGGGCTCTAGAGCACAGGCTCAGTAGTTGTGGCACATGGGCTTAGTTGCTCCGCAGCATGTGGCATCTTCCCAGACCGGGGCTCAAACCCGTGTCCCCTGCGTTGGCAGGCAGATTCTTAACCACTGAGCCACCAGGGAAGCCCCTTGCACAATCCTTCTGTTCATCGGATGGACAGGGGGACAAATAAGTGGCTGGTGATGTAACCCTGCAACGGCTCATCTTTTAATGACTAACCATTTACAAATTTATGCAAATTCCTTTTGGATATGTCACTACAATGACACTGACATTATGGCCAGTAGACAGGCAAGCATTTGAAACAAATGCCAAATTCAATCTCTAAGTAGATTTATTAGAAAATCAAGCACAAAGTGGGGGTGGGGGGAGGGGCATGATTTGATCTGCTCAAATCAGGCAAAAGTCATATGGGTGGCAAAATTACCTCCATCAGTATGAAATGGGATTGAGTTTCTCATTATTATGGAAACTTAAGGCGGGGTGGGGGCGGCGGGGTGGGGGGGAGCTCATTGTGCCCTCAGTGGCTCAAGAATTGCTGGAATCTGTCTGGGAAACCATGCAAACACAGTGTTTGGTCCAGGTCAGAAACTCTGGCCCATCAGGAACCTTGGTCCGCTAAGATAATATCTGAATTCTCTTGGAATGTTAAACTCAAAAATAGTAAAACCCTTCTAAGTGTCCTTTTTATACAGGTAAGTTTAGTCTTAAAACTTTCATATTAAGGTTAAGAATAGTTTGTATGTATCTGTATTTAAATTGTAATGTTTAGGGCTCCCCTGGTGGCGCAGTGGTTGAGAGTCCACCTGCCGATGCAGGGGACACGGGTTCGTGCCCCGGTCCGGGAAGATCCCACATACCGCAGAGCGGCTGGGCCCGTGAGCCATGGCTGCTGAGCCTGCGCGTCCGGAGCCTGTACTCCGCAGCGGGAGGGGCCACAACGGTGAGAGGCCCGTGTACCGCAAAAAA